TTGCAGGTTCCATGGGCCTCTTCTGTGGATACTGATCTTTAGTTCTTGCCATAGATTTTATTTTGGATTCAAGTCAGGTGATTTGCTAGGCCATTCTAGCAGCTTCATTTTCTTTCTTGTAAACCAACTGAGAGTTTCATTGGCTATGCGTTTGGGATCATTGTCTTGCTGAAATGTCCACCCTCGTTTCATATTCATCATCCTGGTAGATGGCAGCAGATTTTTCTCAAGAATGTCTTGGTACATTTTTCCATTCATCCTTCCTTCACTGAAACAAAGTTTGCCAGTACCGTATGCTGAAAAACAGTCCCACGCCATGGTGTTCCCACCTACAAAATTCATTGTTGGTATGGCTTTTTTGTCGTAATATGCAGTGCCATTTGACATCCAAACATGGTGTGTATTATGGCATTCAAAGAGTTAAATTTTGGTCTCATCTGGCCAGACTATATTCTCCCAGTATTTATACTGGCCATGGCGGTTGAGTGCATTACTTATTTTCTTTGAAACAATTTTACCTGCTAATTCTATGCCTTTCTGAAACTCCTTGGTTCTTGGATTACTCTTCTGTTAATTATTTTCACCCCTCTGTCAGAAATCTTGCAGGGAGCACCTGGTCGGGGCCGGTTTATGGTGAAATGATGTTCTTTCCACTTCCGGATTATAGCCCCAACAGTGCTTACTCAAACATTCAGAAGTTTAGAACTCCTTCTGTAACCAATGCCATCAATATGTTTTGTAACAATAAGGTTGTGAAGGTCTTGAGAGAGGTCTTTGCTTTTTGTGTGACACCTTGGTAATGCAACACCTTTTTATTGTCCATCAGTTGAGACTGAACCGCCTGATATTGATTTGCACTGAAAAGGGGCATAATTGATTTCTAACGACTGATAGATTTCAGCTGGTGTCTTAGCTTTCCATGCCTTTTTTCACCTCCCTTTCTTCATGTGTTCAATACTTTTTCCCTGTGTCATTTCATTTTATTACACATAACTTAATTTCTGAAAGCATTTGTTTTGGTTTCCTTGTAGGTATGGATCGCATGAGTTATTACCAACATGTAATGAAAATTTCATGTCAATAGCACCTTTAGAAATATATTTACTGAGAAAAACGTTGACGCGTTCAATACTTATTTTACCTACTGTATAAGCAGTGCTCAGCATAAATGAGTACACCCCAACAGATTTATCAGAAAACCTTTACTTTCCTTTCAAAATCAACATTTTCTATGGGACACTATACTACAAGATACTCCCACAAATGCGGGTCATTGATTACAAACAAGATTTGTTTGTACACACAAAATAAGTATTTTTCCTAACAAATTTATTCAAGACCATGTTGCAAAAATGAATACACCCCAATGAAAGTCTTAGGAGCAAAGCTAAATTTTAGGCAGCAAAATCTTAGTTAACAATGATTCACCTACAGGCAAGTCTAATTATTCATTAAACAAGTGTCCAGCAGACAGTTGATTATAAATGGGCGTTACTTAACAAAGACAACCCCTCCTCATTCCATGCTGTCAGCAATGCCACCACATGGAAGAGAAAACTCACCAGGCCTGAGATAGAAACTCATTTCTTTACACAAGAACAGTGAAGACTACAAGAAGATCTGCAAAGCTTTACTTATCAGTCAGAATACTGTAGCAAAAGTGATACAAAAATGTAATAGAGATGGAACTGCAACCATCTCACAGAGAACGTGCTGCCATCACTCTGTGCCCTTGGTCGTCGTGCACTTTTCCAATATGACAATGATCCAAAACACACATCTAAGGGCACTGTTGCATTTCTGAAAAACAGGGTGAAAGTGATTCAGTGGCCAAATATGTCTCCTGATCTGAACCGAATTGAACATCTATGGGGAATTCTGAAGAGATGAGTTGAGCATCACTCTCCAACCAGGCTCTAATAGAGGTTGTTCTGGAAGAATGTAAAAAGATAGATGTTGCAATGTCGTCAACTTGTTCATTCCATGCCTAGAAGACTTGGTGCTGTCCATGCAAATCATGGAGGTCATACAAAATACTAGATGTAGTAGTTTTTGTTGTGAGGTGTATTCATTTTTACATCAACGAATTTGAGTAAAATTGAAGATTTTGTAATCTAAGTTATATTATTAACCTTACTTTCATGTACTGAGCTAAATAAATGTTCTATAAAACACAGTTTTGTAAAAAAATGTTTGGAAATTGTTCTTGTGTTCATTGAGATATTGATTAAAATCTTACTTTTTAAAAGGGGTGTACTCATTTATGCATTTATGCTGAGCACTGTGTGTGTGCGCGTGTATGTTTGTATGTATGTGTGTGTGTGTGTATATATATATATATATATATATATATATATACATACACACACATATACATTGTTTTCATTTATGTCTCATTAGTAGGGACAGTAATGTGTTTACTTTGATGCTGCTCAGTGTCTTTCTGTTGAACTGAGGAGGAGATACACTGATAATTGCAGTGATAACGGTGGTCAGACAGTGTGTAAAGCAGGATTAAATCCGATCCACATTTGATTAAGCAATTAGGTTTCTGAAACTCTTACACTAATGAATACTGAGTACTTTGATGCGGTACAATGACAAGATTGAACATATATTCAAAAACGAGTAATCTGCTTTTACATCATCCTGAAATGTTATTTCATTTAGCGATGATTTCCTAATCCAAACTTTTTTGTAATACTTACTGGAATTTATTAGAATTAGAGTTATTATTTTTGTCATCATGTACTGATGTGCATGTAAACTAGGTGGTACTGTGCTAGATCACTTTTAAAAAGATGCATTGTTCTCCAGGAGAAATTCAACCTTGCTGTAACTGATCCAAATCTGAGAAAACTGAACAGTAAAGAGAGATTAACATTGCTATTCATTGTCTACATTGCCTGTCACACCATTCCGAAACAAATCTTTTCTTTATTACCTAATTTTGGTAGGAGAAAAAAAAAATTATGTTAACAAATATGAAATATGACATTAAAGGCTACCTTCACCTTTCTTACCTTGTTATATATTACACCCACATTTAGGTTGTAATATGTAACATTGTGCCAGGCCACCCCCTTCCCCTCTTTCCACAACTGGCAGAATGGTGGGATTTATCTCTCTGCTGGCTCAGATTTTGAATGTTGCATGCCTGTGTGGCTCCACCCACAAAGCTGCGTTATTCATTCAAAGAGATCGGTTGAATGACTAGACTGCAAGTCCCATCTGTCACCGCAGCAGCGGGACTTGTAGTTATCAGTGAAACATCCCTGGGGCGATCAATGCTCTTGTGGCCCATTTGCACTTCCTGCAGCCCGGTAACTGAAGGTTTGTACCTTGGTATAGACCAGAAGCTAAGCTGCAGAAAGAGCTTGCAGCAGCCTGTGCATTGCACCCACTGTCCATTGATTGAGGTTGCACTGTTTTGCAGTGCTCCTATGCTTACAAATGATAAATGCACATTTCTTTTTCCTTTTTTGAACCACCCATTTTGAATAATGTAAAACTTGTCATTACTTAGAAGTTCCTCCCAACCACTAGTCATAATCTTTAAACGTACCATGGAGATCTATATAAATGTGATTAGCGAGATTACATAGTACTGCGTCTGTAAGTGTACGGAGCTTTGGTAGCTCGCTGAATAATTTCAGCTTCATGCTTGCTTCATTTATATGCCTTTCCTGATTTTTAATAATAAAAGATTGTTTCATTTTTATGTTTGCCTCAACTTTTTACACTTGTCCCCCATGTTGTTTAAATGGAAAATCTAATCGATCATTATTTTTCCTCTCGTATAAGGGCTATCAGTGGAGACCAGGGAAAGCCACCTGCAGCCTATCTAATTTTTTTCTCTCGCTTAACATCCATCATATTTTCCTTGTGTGTTCAAGTTCTATTGGTCTTGTGCTATAGTCTGCCTAGTTAGGGCAAGAGTGGCAAAACTGAAAGCACAGTTATGCATGTACAGTTTATTGTATGTGAAGCCTATCGCTCAAGGAACATATCAGCATAGCAAGTCTGTGTGACTGACTAATCTATCTTTAGAACAAGCTCATTGTAAGGGACCGGGTTGACAAATGAAAGGGTGCTGAAAGCAATGCAAATGGTGTTTTCCTGTCATTCATCTTTAACCACCTTTAACAGCTCCATTTGCTTAACATATACATTATGGAAGATGGTAATTTAGAAACTTCTGTATTTTTTATTATCATTTGTGCACTGATGCTTTAATAGCCTTTTTTTTCTTTTGCTATGCACTGTTTTCAATTAAGAAACATTTTAATCAAGATATTTTCTGTTTAGGTGCATTCTATAGAAGTGTTAATAGTTTATTTTTATCAATTAACAAAATGGAAAGTAAATGAACAGAAGAGAAATCCAAATCAAATGAATATTTGGTGTGACCACCCCTTTACATCAATTCTTCTAGGTACACTTGCACACAGTTTCTGAAGTAACTCGGCAGGTAGGTTGTTCCAAACATCTACAGATATGTGGATAATAGGATGCCTCAAATCATTCGGTCTCTTCATGTAATCCCAGACAGACTCGATGTTGAGATCAAGGTTCTCTGGGGGCCAAACCATCACTTTCAGGACTCCTTGTTCTTCTTTTTTATTATTATTCAGAATTTATATAGCGCCAACAGTTTGCTCACTGATTTACAATATAAGGGTAGTCAGTACAACAATACAGTTCCATACAAGAGGGTTAGGAGGACCCTGCACCTAGGAGCTTACAATCTAATAAGGAGGGGCTGGTGGAACAAAAGGTAATAATTGTGGGGGGGTGAACTGATGGGAGAAATAGAAGATTCAGTTATTAGCTGGTTTCTTTACACTGAAGATAGATCTTAACCTCCTTGAAGTTATTTCCGATTGTAGCTCGGGGTAAAGTTTCACCACCACAAGCGGTAACCCTGAGCTACACTCGGGAATACCTTGCAGTGCTGCTCCGGGATCTCTTCTTCACTTACTTTGTCCTTTGCTCCTGCGATGTCCCTCCTGCAGTGTCCCTGGCAATGTCCTCCGGCCGATGCTGGCATCCGTCTTCTGGGTTCCGTTCCCTGCGAGCGCGGGGGGACGGAACGGCGGGAAATTTAAAAATTACAAAAAGTGACATTCACTAAATTCACTAAAATCACATAACATTACTGTATCAAACCATTTCACATACATCTTGTCCCTAGTGCTTTGTCCTGTGCCCTGCCTGCATTTTTACCATTCTTTCTGCCTGGAAACTGAGAAATGTCCATGGCGTCCAAAAAACGTCCCTTTAGGTAAAAAGTGGTTTTAGACCAGCTAGAGAACAGCGATAGTAAATTAGAACTACTTGCAGAATTGAGTGATAATGATTCGTGGGGGAAGTTCATCATCAGACACTGAAAACGATTTTGCGACTTTGCACAGTGATATGTGAGCTATATTTCAAATTTCAGTGTTTTTGGTTTGATTATATTATTGAATTAAATTTATTGTTATTATTATTTTTATGATTATTTATTAAATTATAATTTATGATTTCATGTTTCAAATTTTAACATACTCGGGATGTTTACTAGACTCTTGTTCGGACAAATTTCAGTGAGTTATTCCTAAAAATTACAGGCCTACAATAAAAAAAAAAATACATATTTCCATGCAAAAAATGTACCGCTTTGAGCACAGAAATACTGACATAATCAGACTGCTAAGGAGGTTAATGACATTGGCTGCATGTTTGGGGTCATTGTCCTGCTGCAGAACAAAATTGGGGTCATGTTGTTTAAATGGAAAATCTGCATTATCACCATTTTTCTTATCACATGAGAGATATCAGTGGAGACCAGGGAAAGCCTCCTGAAGCCTGTCTAATTTCAGTGCTCTGGTAGAAAGAAGGAAATAGGAGTTTATGTACAAGTTATATAATCATTATCTGTTTGGGAGATGTCCCTACTTTTGGGATAGTGCTTTTTTTCCTACTTTCTTTCCCATATCTCTCTGGTTATGATGCAGGCCTTGAAGGGAGCTTGTGTCTTAATGTACAGATCTGACCTCTTCTCAATAGTGCAAAGCAACTGCCATATAGATTTGGAGTTCATGCTACTGCTGCCCATATGTATACGTATGTAGTTATTGCAGGGGGATGTTCTTATACCTGTTCCACAATCAATTGCACCTGCAGATTTTTTTTTTTCTGTGTCACAATTGGCTAAACTGCCATGTAGCACAATTACAGCCTGTTCTCATTCTGTTGAGGTTTCCCCTGGGATTATTATTTATTACAGGTACGTCTATAAGTGCCTTCAATTTACACAGCACTTTACATACAGTTGTGTTCAAAATAATAGCAGTGTGTTAAAAAAAAAAGTGAATAAAGCTCAAAATCCTTCTAACAGCTTTTATTTCCATACACACAAATGCATTGGGAACACTACACATTCTATTCCAAATCAAAACATGAAGATTGAAAGATTGGACTACATTCCACAGTTCTCTATTTCTTGGTTTTGCCTCAGAAACTGCATTTTTGATGTCACCCCACAAGTTTTCTATTGGATTACGATCCGGGGATTGTATAACGGCCACTCCATAACGTCAATCTTGTTGGTCTGGAACCAAGATGTTGCACGTTTACTTGTGTGTTTGGGGTCGTTGTCTTGTTGGAACACCCATTTCAAGGGCATTTCCTCTTCAGCATAAGGCAGCATGACTTCTTCAAGTGTTCTGATGTATTCAAATTGATCCATGATCTCTGGTATGCGATAAATAGGCCCAACACCGTAGTATGAGAAACATCCCCATATCATGATGCTTGCACAACCATGCTTCACTGTCTTCACAGTGTACTGTGGCTTGAATTCAGTGTTTGGGGGTCGTCTGACAAACTGTCTCCGGCCACTAGACCCAAAAAGAACAATCTTACTTTCATCAGTCCACAAAATGTTGCGCCATTTCTCTTTAGGCCAGTCAATGTGCTCTTTGGCAAATTGTAACCTCTTCAACACGTCTTTTTTTCAACAGTGGGACTTTGCGGGGGCTTCTTGCAGATAGCTTGGCTTCACATAGGCGTATTCTAATTGTAACAGTACTCACAGGTAACTTTAAACCTTCTTTGATCTACCTGGAGCTGATTGTTGGCTGAGTCCTTGCCATTTTGGCTATTCTTCTATCCATTCGAATGGTAGTTTTTCGCTTTCTTCCACGTCTTTCAGGTTTTGGTTGCCATTTTAAAGCATTTGCGATCATTTTAGCTGAGCAGCCTATGATTTTCTGCACTTCTTTATATGTTTTCCCCTCTCCAATCAACTTTTTAATCAAGGTACACCGTTTTTCAGAATTTCAGAGAGAAATGCACTGTAACCAGCATGTACAACATTTGCTGCCTTCCTTCCTTAAATAAGGGCAACAATTGCCAAAGAATGAATGCCAAAGAATGAATGACCTCACTAATAGAACTCCACACTGCTATTATTTTGAACATGCCCCTTTCAATTAGTGATTCAATTACACAGAATCAGCAGCATGCATGTCATGACTGTTGGGTCTGTTGGATTTTTATTACTCTACTACACCTGCTAGTAAATTATTTGCCATGTAGAAATATCATTTTTACCAAAAACAGTGTTTGACCAGGTTAGTGATGTCTGACTGCTATTATTTTGAACACAACTGAATGTATATATATATATATATATTTTACATTCACATCAGTCCCTAACCCTCAAGGAGCGTACAATCTAAGGTCCCTAACTTACATTCATACATACACATACTAGGGCCAATTTAGACAGGAACCAGTTAACCTACCAGCATGTCTTTGGAGTGTGGGAGGTAACTGATGTACCTGGAGGAAACCCACGCAGGCACAGGGAGAACATGCAAACTCCAGTAAGGTAGTGCCACTGTTGGGATTCGAACCAATGACCCCAGTGCTGCTAGGGAGGAGTGCTAACCATTTAGCCACTGTGCTGCCCGAACACAAACACTAACCGCAATCAAAGGCACCTCAAAAGCTGAAATTGGACATGGATATTTGTACAATCATCCCCATGCATTATATAAACTGCCTTCTATACATTCCTATTTTGGTACACAGTCCAGTTTTTGGTTAGAGTAAGACTTTGTGGCATTCCCAGATAAGGAAATGAAAAATTATATATTTTTGCATAATCCTCAGAGTAAGAGAAAATCAGATTTTTCTTTTATGATGAGTTAATAGTCCTAATAAATACAATTCTGTATTTGTTTAAACACTTTGTTTAGTGTTGAACTTAGGAAACTCTTTAATGAAGATTCACAGTAACGTAAACCTTTTTCCCTTTTTTGTCTTTCATTTTGCTGCCAAGTGTAATGAGTGATCTGCAGTTTTCAGGGGCTCACAATCAGTTGTACAGCGAGTCTGATTTATGTTGCTCCAAAGCTATAGCTAAAAGCTAGTTCAAGCTGTCTCTTCATTTCAACTTTAAGTATCAATATTTTGATTGCTGCCATTTTCTGACAGCTTCAAAGTGGAATTTGAGAAACTGTGTCAACCCGGAGGATAAGGCTGGATTTGCTGGAAGGAAGCAAAGTGTCATTATAGAGAAATAATTCCATCTGAACCCCAAAAAGATAGGATCATATAATTATTTCAGTTGTATTTCTTTTTTTTTTACAGAAATGTGACTAAATCATGTTTAATGACGCGTAGTGTTGCATAAATTTGTCACACTTGATCAGCTAAAACGGAATGCCAAATATATGTATATTCTATCTTTTTAAGGTTTACTGTTGCCCAAAGCCATGGGAAACAAAAATGTTATTTGATGATATCTGAATGTTAATGAAATTGTTATTAATAGTGTTTTTATTACTCTTAATGATGTATGTAAATAAGGGCAAATGTGAATTTCTGTTGACACCAAAAGATTATTTTAATGTTCAGATAAAACCTTTTGGTCTTAGTTCAGTGATTAAACATCAAACACTATTTGCAAGAAGCAGGAAGAGGCTTTTATCCGCTTCACGGATGGCAGTGAGGGACATTTTATAATGGCCTAGTGCAGATACTCATCTTTTTATCTTTAATCTGGATGCATTTTATGTATGGTAATAAAGCTTTTCTGCTGTGAACACAGTTATATAAACCTACAGGTGTGTGTGTGTGGGGGGGATGATTGCTAAATTGATTTGTTTATCAGCCTATGTTCTGTGGATCTTGATTTGCCCCCTCTAGGGCTACCCTATCGTCTACAGTGTCCACTTCCTAATAGTGTAGAATAGGCTTTCTCCCCTTCTTTCATCCATCATGCAGTGCCTGGCACCAGGTTGGGGATATACCTATGTATGTATTGATTTAGAGAGAGACTGCATTTACAAAAGCTATTTTGAAGGTATAGGAATGATTCTGCGGGGATAAAATATGAACCTCGTAATCGTACATACAGACATCATACTGTATGTGATCAGCATTGTGCTGTAAATACTCATTTAGCGGTTTTCTCAGTACAGTTCACCTTAACATGTTTAATAAAGTACTTATTTGTCTGTGTTTAACTGGATTTTACTAAATAACTTTCATTGTTAGGCTCCATGCACACTGGCTTAAAAAAATGCTGCTCCTAGAGGAGTTTAGCATTTTAGCTTTAGAAACAACTAATGATAACCTATGTGTCCATGTACGTTTGGTCATTCAGAGGTGTTTTTTTAAGCTCAGCGTTTACAGGCAGAATAAAAAACTTTAGTTTTGCATTTTAGAGAGAGTGTGTATAGAGCCTTAAAGTAAACTGAAAGTGTTTTTTTCTATAATTATGATTGAATGTCACTCCCTTTTAAAGCCTTTAAAGGCTTGACTATAAACTGACAAGAGTTACATGTGAAAAAACTTGGTGCACAGGATCTGTACGTCTGACTCTTCATTTTCTTGCATCTTTTTTTTTTCCTTTTCCATATCAGTGTAGAGGATAGTAAATAGGCAATCCCCAGTACTGCATACACATTTACTATTCATTTAAAGCAAATACCAGATAAAAATTTATGTCGGGGCAGTCAAAAATATTTCCTAAATATCATCTTTGACAACTGTTAGCAGGTCAGGTGTCCTCACTAGGAGATTTCCCTCACCATCTGTTCCCAATGACCCTTATCAGCAGTAGAGTATCATTTCACTCAAAGTTCCAGTGACCTTTAGTAAGGGTAAATCTCCTCATCAGGACCATAGACAGCAACAAAACATGATATAGATTCTAACCCTTTCCCATTTCATCTAATACTTAAAAAAAAAAAAAAAAAAAAAAAAAAAGTTTCTGCTGGATTTTCAGTTTTCATTCATTCTTTTATCACTTTTATTTATTGTTGTGGAATATCTTCTTTTGAATACAAGAGATGACCAAGAGGCTCCATACAGTACAGGAGATGACTAGAGACTGCAGACGGTACAGGGGATGACCAGAGACTGCAGACAGTACAGGGGATGACCAAGAGGCTGCAGACAGTACAGGGGATGACCAAGAGACTGCAGACAGTACAGGGGATGACCAAGAGACTGCAGACAGTACAGGTGATGACCAGAGACTGCAGACAGTACAGGGGATGACCAGGAGACTGCAGACAGTACAGGGGATGACCAGGAGACTGCAGACAGTACAGGGGATGACCAGGAGACTGCAGACAGTACAGGGGATGACCAGAGACTGCAGACAGTACAGGTGATGACCAGAGACTGCAGACAGTACAGGGGATGACCAGGAGACTGCAGACAGTACAGGTGATGTCCAGAGACTGCAGACAGACAGGGGATGACCAAGAGACTGCAGACAGTACAGGGGATGACCAGAGACTGCAGACAGTACAGGGGATGACCAAGAGACTGCAGACAGTACAGGTACAGGGATGACCAAGACCAGACTGCAGGCAGTACAGGGGATGACCAAGAGACTGCAGGCAGTACAGGGGATGACCAAGAGACTGCAAGACAGTACAGGGGATGACCAAGAGACTGCAAGACAGTACAGGGGATGACCAAGAGACTGCGGACCTTTGCGGAGGGAGGGGGAGTGGGTACCTGAATTTGACAGGTACCCGCTCCCACTTCCACGGAGTTGTCCTCCCTTTAGTGTGGCATCTTTAGTGTGGGCACTTAGCCGGCATCTTTAGTGTGGGCACCCGGCTGTGACAGCCAGGTGCCCACTGCCCATGCGCGAGAAGCACTGCGCTTTGTGAATGGCCCGGCGTCTTCTGGGACCTGTCATGTGTCACAGCCAGGTGCCCACACTAAAGATGCCGGCGCGGGAAGACTGTACAACGCTGGAATGAGGAACAGGTAAGGTCTTGCTGCAGAGAAGAGATGAGCGGCCGGCCCAGTATTCTGACACGGTGGCAGACCGGCCACTCCATATTCGCTCCATAAGACGCACTGACATTTTCCCCCTTTTTTTTGGTGGGAAAAAAGTGCGTCTTATGGAGCGTAAAATACGGTATGTAATTATTGTTTTTGGTATTAAAGGAAAACTATTACTTGGTCAGGCTCCCTATAGCTTCCATGATAGAGGCTGCGCAGTGAAGCAGTGGAACTTGTGCCCCCAGTTTGTTTGGACAAGGGTTGGAGAGTGGGGCATCATACAAAAGTTAATTTAACATGTAATAAAGTTTGTTTGTTTTTTTACTTAAAAAACGAAAAAAAAAAAAAAAAAACGCAATGCTTTTGTAATCTGAAAAAAAAAAACGGCATTACCTTGCAGTAAATAGTGTCACCTATTTTTAGTGATCTCAGAACCAAGCATGAGCTTTTTTTTAGGCTGTTAAAAAAAAAAAAAGAAGAAGCTTTGTGAATAATGTGTTAAAACTGCAAGGAAAAGGTGTTAAAGTGACTTTGGCACTATTCACAAATATAAAGAGAAGTAGTCCCTGTAAAGAAAGGCATTAATATTCACACCTCCTGCACCTCCTTGCTGCCTGTGCTGTTAAGCTCTGCTGTCTTCAAGAGATAAAGCTAACCGAAGAAACTTCAGCATCCACCACATTCCCAGGTTTGCTAAATGCTTGGTCTCCTTCTGCATATCATGGTTCCTTCTGCCAGTCCTTAAATGATTGCTGTGTTAAACAAATGAAACCACTATGGACAGCGGGCAACACAGACACCTCACACTCCCACAAGTGTTGGATGCTGAAGGTTCAGCAAGCTTGGGGCTATCTTGTTCACATTGGTGTTCACAGTTGTACACATGTGTAAGGGCCATGTTTGCCTGCACAAGGGTGTACAGGTGTTCCATGCATCCCCATGCAGGCAGTCCCATTCATGTCAGTTTGGACACAGAAGCAGCCACTGCTCCCAATTTGACATCCATGTGGGTGCAGGTCCCCGAATGCACACTGTCTGCATGGTGCAGCTGTCAAATTGGGAGCAGCGACTGTATCTCCTGTGTCTCAGTTGACATCAGAGGAGTTGCCGTGCTGGGATGCATGAAACTCCTCTGCAAACGTGACCTTGTTGCCCAACTATGCCGTGTGAACAAGGCCTATTTCTTGAAATACACAAAGCACACCGAGATCCAAGTAGGAATGCATGTGCTTCTTATATTTAGTCACTATTTATCTTGGATTTTAACTTTAAGGAATAAGTGCACTTTCAGACAAAGTACGCTTTTTCATTTTGTCCCATTCGCAGGACATAACAGATGCTACGCTCTCCTGTTACACATGCATACTTGGCAAGATCTGACACCTGTGGCCTCATGAGTTTGTACATCCAGGGTTGCAAGTCCTGTCTCCTGACCCATAGAAAGTTATGAGCCTCTATTGTGCAGGCAAAGGCTGGGAGAGAGGACTTGCGGTGCTGGATGTCAGCTAACCCAGTAAACTGCATGCAGTGAATCTCAGTAAGTGTTAGGTGGGTGGTAACTGTTAGGGCCCTTTCACACTGATGCGCTTTTGTGGAGCTTAAGACCCCTTTTACACTGATGCACTTTTGATACGTTCCCATTGACTTACAATGGAAGGTGCGTTTTTGGTGCACTTTTGAAAAACTGCACCAAAGATGCAGCATACAGGAGTTTTCAAAGCACAGCAAACCGTTACATAGGATTTAATGGGGAATAGTTTTCTTGTGCTTTTTTTTGGGCCTGGAAAGCGCGGAAAAAGCACACCACTGTTAAAGAGGCCTTAGGTCACCAGATGGAGGCAAAAAGAATAAGTGCGATTTGTATTAAAGTGCTCCATTTCTTTTAAAGGATACCTTTCTGGGCAATTCAGAATAAGAAAATATACGTAATGGAAAAATACAGAGGTCACTGCCAGTGGAGACTAAATGTCAAAATAATGAGTATATACAAATATAAAGCCAAGTAAAGTTTCTTGCGAGTCTTTATTTTCCTGTAAAAGCTGCACTGGACCCCAATATCTCTTATCAACTGGTCCTGCATAGAAATCCTAAAGCGCACCTGTCATTAGAGAATTAAGAAGATCAAAATTCTTTGCTCCTAAAGTTCTTAGTTGTCTATCTGTCATATTGATAAAGTGTGTCTTCAGTACTTTCTAAATCACTGACCCAGAACAGGTATGCAGATCAAAACGTCTGACTTCACTTACACACTTATTCCGGGTCACCTCGAATTCCAGATGGAGGTCTTCATATTTTTGTCAGTACAGGTTTCTATTATTGTGTCAAACAGCCTCAACGACCAATAGGGAAGCTTGGTAGGTGAGTGTGGGGTGGGCTGTGCTCAAGTTATATAGGAAAAGTAAAAATGTACTGTATATATATATATATATATATATATATATATATATAATGTGAACGATCTATATCTATCAATCTGCTGATTACTATGACAGTAAACGCGACCTTGGCTTCACTTTTATTTTCTTCATATGCTTTGTTTCAGTTGTCCGAGTTGATGACAGGTTTACTTTAAAGTGGTTGTAAAGGCTCAAGGTTTTTTTTTTACCTTCGTGCATTTTATGCCTGCAGGTAAGAAAACCTTCTTTGTGCAGCAGCCCTCCCTATTACTGGGACAGCAAGTGAGCCAATGAGGAGAGAGAGGGGGCGGGGCCAAGCCGTTGCTCTGTTTGTTAATGGACATGTGAGCAGTAGCTTAGCAGCCCCCATAACAAGTTGCTTGCTCTGGGGGCACTAGGCAGGAGAGAGGGTCCAGGAGCAGCTGCGGAGTAACTGAGAAGAGGAGGATCAGGGCTGCTCTGTGCAAAACCATTGCACAGAGCAGGTAAGTATAACATGTTTGTTATTTAAAAAAATAAATACCTTTTAATATCACTCTGCAATGAATGAAATGTTGTTATTACATATAGATATAATATGTTGCCTTTTAAATCATTTTTGTAGCTAATTTTTAGACACACTGTAGTCTCACTTGGGAGGTCTTCCAGTTATATTCCTTTCTGTCGTCCAAATCACAAACGGCTAGACTTTTTATTTGCTTTCTTGAGATTCACCAAGAGTGCTATAATTTCCAAATGTGCAATGAAAGCTAGTACAGGTCATGGGTTTCTGGGAAATTTTATTACACCCTTGCCTTGTTGAATAAATTAATATCTAAGCAAATGCTTATCAAAATATGGCTGCTCAGAGGAGTCTTTCTCAGTTAACCTCTTTGTGGGTCAAACTCTAGAACTGAACCCCATTAATGAATCTTCTCAAGACTCACCATGTCAAATTCTGCATTAAAGGGAGGGTGACAGAACACTCACAACCTGCTTTATTTCTTCCTGGATGGATTTTAATGTACTTAAACTATTATTTGGATCACCTTTCTGGCAACGCATTTGCAAAGTAGTGTTAAAGAGAGCAGTGACCTGTAGTAAGCAAGTGATGGTGTTAGATGTCAAATACCTTGGCAGAGGCAGTGTAAACCCCTAAGTAACTACTTTTAAACTTACTTAAAGATTCTGTTAAGTAAAGTTCTGTGCTTTTTTTCCCGCACTGAAATTTGTTATCTCTCAGTTGTTACTAGCAGATCTTAGGATGCAATTTTGATATGACAACTTTTTATGTGTTGCAGGTAGCAGGCCCTTTAAAAAAAACCAAAAAAACAGGATCCTACAGTGTACCTGCATTTTATTTGCCGTAATAACATATTTTGTGCAGGCAGGTCTGGGGGCTGATAGTTATAAGCATTCAGTGTGGGTCCGTGTTTACTGGGGAGTATCTGTGTTCTTGTTCCCTAAAGGCAATCGTATAGTTTCACTGCTGTATGTTTCATAATGTTTTGGATCATTTGTGTATTAACCATTCTTTTAATAGTTGCACATAAAACACTTAAGCGCAACACTATAGTTTTCGTTAACCCCTACTCTAAGTTGGCTATTAGAAAGGAAAACCTTTTTTTTAAATTTAAGATGACTTAAATACACCCATATCAGCCTGTGCTACTGCTTTTATGATGGTGGGCATAAGACCTGGTTGATTAGAATCTTTATCTAAATAGTACACACTAGGGTTAAAAAAAAAAAAAAATTCCACTGGGAAAAAAATAGTTTATTACCAGAAGAGGAGGTAAGGATTGGGAAATGTTTCCCTTCACTGCAAAATGAATTAAACCCCTTATTTTTGTGTGCTCTGGTTCTTTGTGGTGTTCTATCAGGAACTTGGTAACAGTGAGTCAGATTGCTGAGAGAGATAACTGTTACGGTTTCCAGGCTCTCCTCTAAGGGATCAGGTCATGGCCAAGCCCATGATTAGACTTCTTTTGATACTTGCTAGGAATGGCACCTCCTGTTATAAATATTTGTATTAATAAGTAGAATGATTGACTAAGGAAGATTATTCAAGTACATGTATGGCATCAGGAAGGATTTTTTGATTCTCAGAGTAAGAATTATTTGCCAGCTGTATGCCTGGGGTTTTGCTATATCTTCTTCCATTTCAACATTATTGGTGTGCATGTGAATAGTTTCAAATGATGGCCTCTTGCAGTCTCTTTCCATGCACGTTCTGTTGGGTGGAACTAGAGTGAGAAGAATTTGTTTTTGCTTTGTTGATGGATTTTTGTGACAGATGAGTCTGTCACTTAAACCTTTCCCACCATTTCCCACCACTGCTTCTTGGCCCTTTAAGAGGCTTTAAATGCTGGGAGGCAGGGGCGGGCATTTCGATTATGTGACCCCTGTGATTGGCAGTCACAGTGGTCACATGATCGCAAAGCTCCCAATCACAAATATGCATCAGGAGCTTTCCGGTACCCACTGGTAACTGTGCTGGGAGTGTGCAAGGTGCTCTCAGCATAGAAATGTTTACATTTGAGACACAT